AATGGGAAAAGAAACGATTCTGGAACCAAACTTCCTAGGTACAACTCCTCAATATGCAATTTATTCAAATGTTGCCCTTGGAAATCATAATAATAATAGAGATGACCACGGAAACGATTTAAGTAAATTAATGAAGAAAAGGTTAGATACATCTTTGATGATTTTTATTTTTACTTTTACTTTTATCATCATCATATTTCCTCCAATTCATCTGAAATTACTTGCTTCCATGTTTCTCTATATTAATATATTCAAGGAAAAATATAATGTAATTCTCATGTTTTCATATTATAAATAGTACAATTCCTGATATGCCATAGAGATTCAATAAATATTTATTGTATGAGTGAATAAATGAACTGGGTATCTGTAAGCCAAAAAGTGGTTTCTCTAGAATTCCATATTCAGAAATACAATGTTTTGACCTTCATAGTACAAAAGATACTTGGATTTGACAGATATTAGCATTTGTAGAACAATTCCCAAGCAAATTAAACAGCTATATATTAATACCAGAGTTGAATGCAGTAGTTGGAAAAGAATATTTTAACTAAAATCAGTTCTCAAGGCAATTTATTTTGTTCTGTTATAGTAATTTATATCAAAGTTTTCTTATACTTGGTATAGGATAGCCAAAATTTGCACATGTACTATATTTTGGTATGTGTTCTAAATGTTCCTTTAACTGAGCTTTATTAGTGTCATTTAAGTAAGCAAAGAGTCTTTGTAAGGAGAAAAAGGAAACTGAAGCTAATTAAATTAGCAGCCAAGGAAGAGGGTGAAAGGCCATCTTGTACCAAGCAGCTGAGATGACCGTCCACTAGAAGGGCGACTACGACCAACGCCACTGACGGTCAACTGTTTATTCAGCTGACTGTGCATGCTCTCGGTGGTAAGAGAAATGTCAAATATACAATGTATTAAGCATAAACTAGACATTCTCATCTGTATCTTATTTCCCTAGGTTAATCCTTATGAAATAGTATTCCACAATGAGTGAATTTAAATGGGACTTTTATTTTAATGCAAGAGAAGAAAGACACACACACACTATCAGTTTTCTGTAACAACAAAAAAAAGACAATGTGATTTGTCATTACTGATATATGTTTATGTATAAGCGATAATGACTCCCTCTATTCCAACAGTCTCTTATGACAAGATTAAAAAATCATTTTAAAATTTATCAAATTGTGGCAATATGTCTAAAGCAATAGTTTTCACAGCATGGTCCCTTGACCAGAAGCATTATTTTCATCTTGGAACTTGTTAGAAATGCAAATACACAAGCCCTACCTGAAAACCATAAAATCAGAAACTCCGGAGTTAAGTCCCAACAATCAGAATTTAACAAGCCCTTCAGGTGGCTCTGATACATGTTAAATAATTAGTCCCAAGTTGGTGCCTCTATCTGCACCTGTATGGTCACTGCTGAAAATTCTCTCATTGCACTACCGTCCATAGTTTCTCAGCCTGCATTCCTACCAAGGACCAAGTTGCTCTGCATTTTTTCTGACCCAAGAGCTGATTCTGTGATTTTTTCTCATCCACGCTCCGCACTCCCCTACCGTATACAGGTAAGTTCTTCAGAGAACTATGTGTACACAATACACACACACTCAACATATGTGCTCAATCAGCCCTGATCCTCTGATTTAGGGGCAAGTTTGGTTTAAGATCTCTCTCTCTCATGAGTTCTGTTTGCTCAACTGGTCACTGAACTTTCAAAACACTTGTACGAGGCCAAAAAGTAAAATAAAAAAGATTTTGTATTTTTGGTTCAGATCTGGAGAGTATTCTAAATACAATGTTTTCTTTTTATGAGAGAAACAGAAATATGACAAGCTTTGTAACAATAAAATATTAAATATACAAGTGCAACATTTAAGATGATTATACAAATGTGAAAGAATATAGAGGTATAAAATATTTTATAGGCACAGATATTATTAAGGTTTCACATTTGTAAAGGCTGCTGTATCAAAATGTTTTAAACACTGTCATTTTAATTTACAATATGATTGAGTTGCTTGTTTGCATGCAATATGAATACATTTCTCTACTGTTGATTTTTTTTATTCAGATTTTAAATTCAGGCTTAACAATTATTCATGTCATGTTCTAATAATATTTTCTATGTCCCTCAATGTTTCTGCAATTATTAATTGGATTTCTTCTCTAAGGAAGAATTGTCTCTTCTCTCCCTTTTTATTTATTTACCCAACTATTTATGAACTCATGAATATTCATTTTATTTCACAGATTATAGTCAAACACATTTGTCATTTCTTTTGTTGCTCAGATTGTTCCAGCACTGGCTACTGAAAGCTCTTTCAGTTTGGCTCCTGTGTGCTTTCAACCTCTTCCCATCCTTTTTATTCAGCAGTTCAATTTTAATTTTATTTTATTCATGCAGGAGTTACAAGGTAATAAGTACAGAAAATATATAAAACTGTACTTACAATGTGATCTCACTTTAATAAGTAATTATTTGTGTGGATCAATTATATTCCATGATTTAAAATTCAGTTGATTAAAAATTGAGACTCATTTTTACAATATAAACTATATATCACGGTATCAAAGCTGTTATCTCTGAGAGGTGGGAAAAAAGAACAAATTTTACTTTGTGTATTTGTTTTTTTAAATTATTTTCTAAAAAAAAAATATGTTCTAACATAAGTTTTGATTTTAGAGTGATAAAGAAGATTTTAAATTGAAAATAAGTCCTTGACTCTGGATAAGGGGCAGTCTTTTCCTTCAGTTTGACTTCTTAAATTTGACATATCTATGGGACATTTTTAAAAATACATAAATAGTTATATAAAACCAACAGCTGATAGTGAGTTTATATTAACATTTTGTTTTCTAATACAAGGAACCAGAGCTCCTTGGAGTGATTTTAGAGCCAGGACAAGGAAAGTTTTGGTAAGCCTAGAAGAAACTGTGGTACAAAAAGAAAAGAAATACACAGGCAAACCGATGGAGTATGTTGAAAGCACACATTGTGGAAAATTCTACAACACAATAGACCAGTACTCTTTAGAAGTATCAAGATTATGAAAGTCCTGAAAAGACAGAGGAGCTGTCAAATATTTGGAGAAAATGACATGAATCCTGGGGCTGGGGAACACAAAATCCAGGGAACAGAAAAACATGTGTGAAAAGACTGGTAAATCTGAATAAAACTGGTAGTTAATACTGTTGTACCAGTATTAATTTCCTGGCATTGATGGCTGTGCATGATGTTAACATTAGGTTCGGTCATGATGTAAAGTGCTAACATGCAGGGAATTTGGGTGAAGATTACAGGGAAATCTATATTATGCTGTAATTTGCTGACAATTCTAAAATTAGTTTAAAATAAAAAGTTAAGCGAAGCTATAAATTCAATTGTGACTTCCTTTAGATCTCTGGGATATTAAAATAATTTTATTTCCAAATAATTGGTGACTTTCCGGATATCTTGTTACTGATTTCTAGTTTAAGTACATTATTACCCAAGATAATACTTCGTATTACGTGGAGTTTTAAGACTGTTTTTATCGTTGATGATACACTCTATTTTGATGAAAGCTCTATATTTACACAAAAATTTGAAAGTATTCTACTATTTCGGGGTTGAGCATTTTAAAAGTAAATTAGGATAAACTGGTTGACAGTGTGCAGGTCTTCTATATTCTTAGTGATTGTGTCTGTTTTTTTGCTAATGATTATTAAGAGAAGAGTGGTAAAGTGTCCAACTATAATTTCAGATTTGTCTATTTCTCTTTTCAGTTTTATCAGCTTTTGGCTCATATAATGTGAATTCATGTTTTAAGTACAAAAACATTTAGGAATATTATATCTTCTTGATTAGTTGACTCCTTCATCTTTATGCAAGATTTCTCTTTATCCCTGGGTATATTTCTTGCTCTGATGCCTAGTTTGTGCTCTTTAAGATCTTACTAGATCATACATATTTAGTTAAGCATGACAATGAGAGATTAGTTTAAGAGGTCATGTTGCAAGCATTGTTGGCTGCCCTGTCATGATTTGGATCTTACTACACACTGATAGAGGAAATGCACTGGGTATAAATACTTTCATAAACCAGGTATACACTATAAAATACTACACATAATGTAGATTTAGAAATCATACTTTGTTTATCAACACTTTGCAGAAAAACATCAGCATCAATAGTGTTAAGGTAGTGAATATATTGAAGCAATTACTTCAGAGAAACCTAAATTCCTAAATCACCTTATGGGAACACCCCCCCTTTGTAACCCCTCTAGAACTTACCATGGTGTAAGACATGAGATAAAAGCTTTCACTGAGAAAAACCACTGAGAGTTTTATAGTTTATCTCTAACAGTGGCTGAAGTTTAATAAATCTATCCCTTAAGAGAAAAAATCAGTTAAAATTCCCTAAAGGGAGCTAGATAATGGCAACTTGCCAAATACTACTTTGTATAGTATTTATTTTCATCTATTAATGTGGTGGGGTGGTGGGTGGAGTAAACATTATCTGACTCAGCTCTATAAGTAGGTAATTTTAATAAGTATCTAGACTTCTTTAAAATCCTGTATCTATGAGCAATCCATAAGGTTAAGATGGGAAAAAGCTATGTAAAGTTATGCAAAGGATTTAACCAGAGACACATGAATGTCAGGGAAGTTAGGATCACAACAGATTTTAACAGATAAATGCTGAGATTCATCTCTTAGTCATATCAGCCAATAAATTAAAACTACATAAAAATTGAAATAAGCAGTTTTTAAGATGTTAAATCAATGGATTATTTTTAAATTGAGTTGTTATTTAGTCAATAATAATGAGTAAAAGCTAGTACCAATCTTAGATTGAATATTAGAGACAAAACAAAAGTAAAAGTGGATCCTCTTGTTTTTCCCCTTTAACTGGTAGTGCTCTTGGCCTCTTTATGATGTCACCTCTCAACATCACTAATTTGAACTTACAGTGCTTAGGTCCTGGCAAATCATAGGTGGGGGAAATGTCTGTACCAAGATTGTAAGTCCTCTTTTCAAATTTTATGTTTTAAAATAAGTGAAATACTCTAGTCAGCTTTATATTTACTCTCTTTTAGTGTAAAGAGATATTTGTTACATTATTATCATGCCATTGATAAATGAGACACAGTCTCAAGCAACATTATAGGTTGTTTTGACCCAAGACTTAACTAGTTCATTCACTTCAGTAAAATACAGACATGGCTTTAGATAAGTCTTTTTCCAATGTGATTTTTACTTCATTGTTTTGTCATATTGTATTTTGGAAAATAAAAAATAAAATAATTGATGGTTTTTATTCAAGCAAATATTACAAATGACTCCTTAGGGGTCGTCTGGAAATTTATGGGAATTTTTTATTAATATCACAGTGACTGAAAAGTGCTACTGACCTTTAGAAGGAATGGGTCAAGGGTACCAAACCTTTGCTAATAAGTGGGGCAGCCCAAAGACGATGAACTAAATGCAAATTGTATCCCCCTTGAGAAATACTGAGTATACAAAAGTAGTATGCAATAAAAAGAAGATAATACAGAACTGGAAGTTTGATATTTGTTTCCTGATGCTTAATTTATTTTGTGTTAAAATGAGGTATGGGAAGAAAACTTTCAATTACGTAAATTTTTTTAAACTGTAAAGACATGAAATAAAGGCAAAGGCATGGAACTCTAAAATATAAAGGAAAGTGTAACTGGGTTTTCCTTGGATAATACTCTTAATGCGGAGATGAAATATCTTGAAAATAAATACAGATAAACAAAACAGGCTTCCCCTAGGCGCTGTTACCTACTTCATTACAACACAAACAACATACTTCATAAAAGGTTTGAATGTACTGCTCATGCTTACTTTAGAGGCTGAGTAAACTGATGACTATTACACAGAAATCTATGTTCAGGCATGTAACATGACAGAATTAACTACTGTGATTACTTTAAAGTGTTTAAGCACAATAAAATATTGATGGCATTTCTATTATAATGAGCATTGCATGACTTTCAAAGGACATCACCACACTGTTTAAAAATTATTATTGGTTTTATGATGATTTCCTTGTTTTTTCCTGATATAATCTCCAAACTCTCCTGTTATTATAGAAGGAAAGTGTGGTTAAATTCATAATCAAATAGCCTGATTACTAGCCAATGAAGTGCATAAAGAACCCTTAATAAAAATTCATATTTCCAAGGGATGAACTGGTAAATTCCAGTTTATTTAACAGAAAGGGTGAGATGCAGAAAGTAATTTTCTACTTTGGTTTTCCTCTGAATTCTTCTAACAATGACTGGGCCTTAAGTTTAAACTTACATGCCTGTGCCGTGGTAAAGGCCTTGTAGTTGATAAAGTTCTCTTCTTTGAGCTCAGTTTTCACCTCTCTATTCCACTTTAGTATCTTTATTTGTCCAAACCTCAACAGCCCCACTCAAGAGTTTTACCTCTTCTTGCCTTTGCCTCTAACTCAGGTTGTGTCAGTCACCTCAATCCTTCCATTCCTAATACTGAAAAGTAGGTCTAAGACTTCTGAAGGAAGTGGGAGAAGTCTTCATAAAGATTTGGCATCAGATGTGGAGAAAAACTTTTTAAACTTCCAGTGTTTGCTTCCAGAGCTCATATCCACTATACATTTTCTCTTTGTGTCCTGTGAATTGCATTAATAAAGACATGTCTTACTATCTTGTCCAAGAGATTCACCCTGATAAGGAAGGTTTACCAACCTCGGCACTATTGACATTTTAGGCAGGACAACTCTTTATTGGAGTTGAGAACTGGAGGGTATGGGGGAGTGTGTGTGAGTGGGGGGGGTTGTCCTGCACATTGTAAAATGTTTAGCAGCATCCTTGGTCTCTACCAACAAGATGCCAGTATCAGCATGCAAGTGCACATGAACACATGCCTACACACAATTATGATAACCAAAAATATCTCAGACATTATAAAATGTCCCCTGGAGAAGAGAATTGAAAATAAACCCAGCTTGAGAAACACTGCTCTAGAAAATGTTAGAGAAGGACAGGAAATCTCACCATATCACACAGTCATCTCTCAGTGAGACTATGTGGCAGTTGACCTTTGCCTTTACATAGAGACCCTCTAGCATATATGAGAAGAGTGAATTAGGCTCCAGTCAGTCCTGGGAAAATTTATACAGGTCTTGCATATATATGTCAATAAACTTATCTCTAAATATCTTTATGTTATTGCAAATGGCATTATTTTCTTAAATTTATAGCTTCCCATTTTTCTAGATATTGAGATGTAATTTATATAATTAGCCCTTGTAACATATAACTTTACTAGGTTTACGTAAGAGCTCTAAATAATAATATTTTTAGATGTCGTTGGATAGTCTACTTACTCAATCAAGTCTTTTGCAAGTAAAAAACAATTTTCCTTCTTTCCATTCTTGATGCTTTTATTACCTTGTGGAACAAAATAGGGTCTGGATTACAATGCTGAATAGCAGACTAAGCATGCTCACCTACTTTCTGATTTATAGAGGAAAAACATTCAATATTCCACAATTGAATTTGATTTTAATAGTAAAGATTATCTGAACACATTTTATCCTTTTGAGGAAGATGCCTTCTATTCCTCATTTTCGCAGAGTTTTAAATTATGAGTGAATGTTACATTGTAATTCAAAAATTATTCTACATATCTTGAGATGATCAGATAAATTCTTGTTGATTTTGTTATTTAGAGTGATCACATTGGTTGCTGTACATATGTTAAACCAACCTTACATTCCAGAGAGTACACTTCAATGGTTATGATGTATTAGCCATTTTATATACTGTTCAGTAAGATTAGCTAATAAATTGTGAAGGATTTTTTTGTGTCTGTTAATGCAGTGTATTAGTTTATAATATTCATTTCTGGTAATGTCTTTGAGAGGTTTTGGAGTCAGGGTTATTTATATTGGTTTTAAAAATCAATTGAAAGACCTATCTCCTTCCTCTTGTTTCTGAAAAACTTGTGTACAGTATTTTTCCTAAATTTTTAAATTTATCAGTAAAATGGTTTGGGCCTGTGCTTTTCTTTCTGGGAAGGTTTTCTGCTAATGAATTAAATGTATTTAATAATTATAGAGCTATTCACATTTTATTATTTCATTATGTGCAAGTTTTGGTAAATAAACTGAGTTTTTACATAGAGCTCATCTATTTCATTTAAGTTGTTGAATTTATTACCAAAGGTTGTAAATTATAATCCTCATTATTATTTAATATCTATATAATTATAAAACCTGGATCAGTCTTAATATTGGTAATTTGTGTTTTTTTCTTTTCCTTTATCAGTGTTCCTAGGACTTAACCAATTTTAATAATCTTTAAAGAAAAACCCAAATTATGGAATTTTTAATTTGCTCTAATTTTGTTTTCTTTTTCATTGACTTTGACATAGCTTTATAATTTGCTCCCTTTAACATTAGTTTGATATTTTCCTAATTTTTAAAGCAGAGATTTAAACCACTGATTTTAAACTTTTTTCTAATATAAGGAATTAAATCTATAGATTCTACTGTATGAACTGTACATAGTACTCCACAATTTTCAATATTTTATTATTCATTTGCTTTTTTTATAAGTATGCATTGTGATTTCTGTTTGACCACTGGTTACTTAGGAAGAACTGTTTACTTTTCAAATATCTGTGCTGTTGTTATGTACCAATGAGTTGGCTCAGTCTCCTGAAGACTCTGTGAATGAGTGATGTCCACAATGTGCTGTCCTCAACAGCCCTGCTCAGCTCCTGCAGACTCATTCCTGTGGCTTCTCTTACGGAGTCAATCCACCTCACATTTGGTCTTCTTTTCCTGCTGCCTTCTATTTTTCTCAGCATTACTGCCTTTTCCAAAGAACCTTGCCTTCTCATGATGTGTCGGGAATAGGACAACTTCAGTTTTGCCATTTTTTGTCACCAGCAACGTTTCAAATTTAATTTGCTCTAGGACTCGATTGTCTTTCTGGAAGTCCAAGGTATCTGTAAGAGCTCTCCTCCAACACCATATTTCAAATGAATCGATTTTTCTTCTATCAGCCTTCTTCACTGTCCAATTTCTGTGTATTTTCTACATATTTTTGTTGTTGGCTTCTAATTTAATTGCTTGGTGATCAAAGAATATGGCCTAGAAATTATACAGGGAATTAATGGATAATGCCTACATAATACTTTTTAAATCTCCAATTTAATAATGTTGTTTCATAAACCTGAAATATTTCCTCTGTCAGAGCATAGAGAACAGAGAAGTTCATAACCATGGATGGACTTCAAAATGTCTTCAGTAGTGTATAAAAATATACTTTGGATAGCTCCAAACCTAAAGATTCAGATCTAGAGGGGCAAGTAGTTTTAATGCATGTCCTCAGATTAAAAAACACACACACACACACCAGACTAGATAATTAGTCAACACATCCTAAATTTTATCATATAATTTCATTCAAAATTTTTAGAGCGGCAAGTTTTAAAGTGTTCCAGGTTTTATGCTGGGGATTAGAGCTTTAATGTAGTCATCAAGATACTTTTTAAAAATGTAATTTATTATTAATATTTCTGTAATGTCAAAATAAGTAAAATACTGGGTAAAAGAATGTGTTTGTATTTGTGTGTGTGTGTGTGTGTGCGCGCGCGCGCACGCACACAAGACCATATTCACTCATGATTAACAATAACTGTTTCTGTAATACAATGGGAAGGTGTAGAATAATAATTCTCTAATAAACTGTAATGTTTGCCTCCATTACAAGTATAAAAAACTAGACTGTAAATATCCCCTTTGGAGACAAACATGCTCATATAGCACTAAAGTAAATGGAAAATACTTTGCAATATAACTCCATTTCTCATATTTTCTTAGAGAACAAAAGAAAAATCAAAATCCAGATCAATACTCTGGTGCACACTGACTCAGTTATACACACACATACACACACACACACACACTCATAGAAACACACATGCCATTGAATAATCTGGATTTAGTTAAACTCTGAAAATATTTTGAGGATCTGATTTTACTTAAGCATAGTGTTTTCAAAGTGCTGTCTCAGTAAAATTCAATTGCAAGAAATTTTAGAGCATGAGGTGGGGAAATGAATTCAATTATGGTTTCACAATTTGGAAAATGTCTGTATTTTAGATATGCAAAGTTGATGAGGTTTTTTTCCTTAATTTTATTTTTGTTGTTTTAGTTCTGTTGACGTTTTCTCTAAAAACAAACATATTCTCATCTCTGTTTTTCTGGGATCAAGTAATCTTACGTAATAATAGAGATCTGAGAATGCAAAGTATTTCTCTAGTTGGTGGCAAGTGCTTGGGCATAATAATGATCATTAAATAAACTGATTTTTGTATAAATTAACTAAAACCTTTCCCTCTTATTTTAATAGCCAAAAAATAAACTATGGGGCACATGATAATTACATTCCAGGTAAGAAAGAGTTCAATATGTATTTCTAAAAACATGTATGATTAATTTTAGGCATAAGTGATTATCCTCCATTCAAAGAGATGAAACAATAGCTGTCACGAAATATTATTGAAAATTAAGTTTTTATTTTCAAAGGCACCTTTTTCAAGGGCTGAGTGAACATCTTCTAAAAATATTTTGTTCTAAATCCAAAGAAGATTAAGCAAATACGTAGAGCAACATTAAGACGGACTGATATACGTGTTAGAAATCATTCAATCAGATAATCTCACAATTAAAAGGCAGCAAAGAAAATTCGATAAGCAAGTTCTCATCCATGTCAGAAATGCCTTCTACTACATTCCTGATAGAATGTATCAGGGTTAAAACTGACCAAGAAATTCATTATTTGACAAGGCCAGTCAACCTTGTGTTGGAAGACTTCATACATCAAGTGATTTTTCCCTTGTATACATACTGATCTTAAATATGCCTTTCATCCTGTATATTTTCTCATTGATCCTGCTGCAAGTCTATTTTCACTTACATGTGGTGTTACTGTACATATTTAAGTACAGTGAGGATATCTCTCTTACTTGTCTCATTGGTAACCTAAATGTCTTTAACTATTTCTATTATAGTTTGCAGGTAACTTTACCCTCCCATCACAATTCTGTAGGTTTTATTTGTCAATTTCCTTAGTAATGTGCCCCCGATAACAATGCAGTTCTTGGGTATATAACATTTACTTTTGCAGCTTGGAAAATGATTGCTAACTAAAGAGATATAAAGCAGTGATTTTCCACCTTTTCCATCTCATGGCACACATAAACTAATTACTAAAATTCTGCAGAACACCCCCCAAAAATACATTTTTTGCTGATCTGACAAAAACTAGGTATAACTTTGATTCATTCACACAGGGCGGCTATTGTTGTGTTGGTGCTGTCATATTTTTATTTGGCAATCTAAACACCAGTTGAAAATTACTGATCTAAAGCTTTATCATTTAGATCCAATCATATATTTACTGAGTATTTTATAATAGGTACTGCACTAATTGCTTTGAAGGTTATAGAAGTAGTTACCATATTTTCTGTTCTCAGTAGAATTGTATTCTAACCAAAAGAATATAAAGTCAAAATCTAGGCTGGATTAGATAGAAAGATTAAAAGGAAACAATAAAATGGTTTCTTTCCATTTATCTTGCAGACTACATTAGATAGTCACAATCGCTACTTTATATAGTTCTCTGCAAAAATGGAAAACATAGAAAAATCACTTTTTATTTCCTCATATTAATAGTAGATGATTTCAAACATTACCAAATAAATGAAGACAGAATTTTAATCATTCGCTTCTTCATTTACGTGAAATGTAATACCTTACTGCCATATTAGTTTTGTTGAAATGCTATTTAATCTAAAGTATATGTTTAATGCTTCCTTATTTTAGTTAGTGAATTAAGCAAAAAATCATGGAATCAGCAACATTTTGCTCTGGCATTTCCCAAACCACGTCGGCCAGGACAAAAATTAAGATCAAGGCCTTCCCAACTACGAGATAAAACAGATCTTGTAAGTATTAAAAAGATCATATAATTTTACTAGTAATAAACTTGTGAAATCATGTGTAGTTATATGTCTTATATATCATCACCAACTAATGAGATTTCTGTGATGATGGAAATATTTTATATCTTTGCATTCCAATGTGGCTATTGAACACCTCAAATGAGGCTAGTGTAACTGAATTTTATATTTCAATTCAATTCAACTCACATGTGGCTTTTAAATGTCACCAAACAGTACAGTTAAAGGTAATTCAAACTCTACTACTTGAGCAAATCAGATATATTTTATTTGCATTTCACTGTATAAAAATTTCTTCCTTATTTCATATTAACTATTTGTTCAGTAAACCTACATTATACAAAATATGTATCCAAATGTGCAGTAATCTTTAGATCCTAACAGTACAGTTAGTATGAACATTCGAAAACTATTCCCCAGCTAGAAACACCCCCTTGTTAGAGTCATTATGATCTGATAAAGTTTCAGCTCTTCCTCATTTCCTGTAATACAGAATTCAGAATTCTGAATTTTATTTTATTTTTTTACACATATTTTTTTTTTTTTTAAAACATATCTTTATTGATTTCAGAGAGAGGAAAGGAAGGGGGAGAGAGAGAGAGAGAGAAACATCAATGATGAGAGAGTCATTGATCGGCTGCCTAGTCCGCAACCTGGGCATGTGCCCTGACCGGGAACTGAATCCCGATCTCCTGGATCCTAGGTCGATGCTCAACCGCTGAGCCACGCCCGGCCGGGCAGAATTCTGAATTTTAGAAGATAAGTATTTCCCAAGGTTTCTGGAGTCCCAAGGTTTATATGGGATATAAAAATGTTGAAAGAAAAGCTTTTACAGGCTCAATATACTACCAACTCTTGTTTATTTTAGGAAATGTATCCAATCTGTAGTGATACAGGTTTCTTCTGTCCCCTCATATTTCTTCTCTTTTTTTCTTCCTTCCTTTCTTTATTCAATTTATTTTTCATTGTTTGTTAACATTCCTTCCAAATTTGCTGTTTTTTTTTTCAATTAAACTTTTGCAAATATTTGCTTACAAGTTGAAAACAAGACACCATTCTGCACAACTAATGTGCACTGAATAGTACAGCTTTCATTGTTGCAGTTTCCTATCTGATGATACTCAGTTTATATATTGCCATGCAGGAAGCCATTCAGGTTTTTAGTTTTAACCACAGTTAGTACTGTAAATTCCAGGCTTTTAGTTTTAACCACAGTTAGCACTGTAACAATAGACTAGGATCTGCCTGAACACAAAACTATTAGATATTAGAAAATAATTAGTTTCTGAGCTAGCCTTGGTATGGAAGCTAGGCAAGGATATTTCAAGAATCTCAAAAACATAGAGTCAAAGAACAAACAAGCCCTCTCCTGCTTGTGAAGATAGGTTCTAGTATGTCATTAATAAGGGAAGATCTGTACCAATTTTAACATACAATCTTGCAGGAGTCATAAAGATACTCTAGATTTAAATTAGATCCAAAATGAGACATGACTATCCATTAGTTCAACAAAGAATGAATTTGAAAAAGCAAAATAAACTATAAAATCTACAATTTATTTTATATTTATTAAAATCTAAAATCTTTATCGTTGAAGTTAAATGTATTTGGTACCTGGTTATAAAGCTTGGGTAACTAATACAAGTTATTTATCATTATTCTAATCAATATTTCAGAAATATGATGAAGTCAAATTAAAGGAAGGTTCTAAACGACCATTATGGATGCACCGTTCTTTAATGCAAATTTCTGAAAGGCCATCTGCTTATTTAGCTGCCAGGAGACGGCGTCCATCTAAACCAACTTATCCCCCAGGTGCAGAGAAACCTTTATCTCCAAAAATAGGTAAGGTAGTTAAAGAAGACAAGAAGGACAAATTAGATTCAGAAGCTCAATCTGCAGTTTCACGGGAGTTAAAAAAAACTGAGGCAGATTCAAAAGCAAAAGACACAGAAGATAGTTTAAAAACAGATGATGAAAAAAAGAGTTCCAAAAAGATCACGGACTCAGCTACAGAATCAGAAGCTGAAAAAGGAGACACAAAGAAAGATGCCAAAAAAAAGAAAGGTTCCAAGAAGGACAAGGGATCAGATGCAGAATCTGGAGAGGAAAAAGGAGACACTAAGAAAGATGCCAAAAAAGAAAAGAAAGGATCCAAGAAGGACAAGGGATCAGATGCAGAATCTGGAGAGGAAAAAGGAGACACTAAGAAAGATGCCAAAAAAGAAAAGAAAGGCGCCAAGAAGGACAAGGGATTAGATGCAGAATCTACAGAGGAAAAAGGAGACACAAAGAAAGATGCCAAAAAAGAAAAGAAAGGCGCCAAGAAGGACAAGGGACCAGATGCAGAACCTGGAGAGGAAAAAGGAGACACAAAGAAAGATGCCAAAAAAGAAAAGAAAGGCGCCAAGAAGGACAAGGAGACAACAGCAGAATCCGAAGGGGGGGAAAAAGAGGAAAAAGGTGATGAATCAACGGACAAGAAAGACGCCAAGAAAGATGCCAAGAAAGATGCCAAGAAAGGAGGCAAGAAAGATGCCAAGAAAGGAGCCAAGGAAGAATCCAAGGAAGAAACCAAGGAAGAAACCAAGGAAGGCACTGAGCCAGAATCCACTGAGGGAAAAAAGGATGCAAAGAAGGAGGGAAAGAAAGAGGGAAAGAAGGAGGGAAAGAAAGACGAGAAGAAGGAGGGAAAGAAGGAGGGAAAGAAGGAGGGAAAGAAGGGCAAGTAGGCCTTGGACGGTATTCAACAGCACATTTGCTGAAACAGTTTGATTAGCATGAAACTGAATTTATGAGTTAAAGGGGGGATTCGAATATTTAATCAAATGCTTTTAAAAATGGGGCAAAGAACAATATAAAGAAAGACTCAGAAAATCTTCATAAAAATATAAGAACAATGTTAAGAAATAATTAATAGATGATTCATTGAAGGACTTGAAGGATGCTTCTGCTAAAGTTGGGGATATGAAGGATTAAATGAAAGATCCCTAAAAAAGATTAAAAAAACATATAAGTAAGGATGTAGAAGTTAATGATACTGTATGAATATGCAAAAGAAAAAAAAAATCAATGAAGGCTTTGATACATTTCAAGAAGGCAGATGTTGAATCCATAGAGTCAAACAATTTGAAGACACATCCACAGATTTAAATGAAGAACCATAGTAGTCATGAGAGGAAGTGAAACAAATTTCAGAAAGTCTACTTTCAAATAAATACAAATTAAAGGTAGCATTCCTCAAAAAAAACAACACAAACCACAAAAAATATTATTACTTTCTTGTGAAACTATATCACCATCTCTGAAGTATAATTAGACACAACCATGTTCATAGATGTTGAATGTTCCACTTCCAAGCCAAGCTAAACACATTTGGTAAGTTTGCTTTATTTTATTTTAAGCCACATTGGATTAAAGAATTGAACCAGTTTATAGATTTAAATTGACACCATTTTTGTAAACTCTGTAATCTGCTGGTTAAGTTTTGAACTACAATTATATCAAGGTTAGGCCTTCTCATTATAAGAAAAATTAGAAGAATTTGGTGAGAACACCGTATCAGTGAGGATTTTAAAGTGTCCATGGAAAGGTTAAGGGAAGTAGGATTCTTTTTCATGAGGAAAAAAACTGGCCAAAGGTATATGATACCTTTAACGATTATTTATTGCAAGGTGTTTTTTCTTTTAAATAGAAAATGGTGGCCAACTTATCTCCATTTAAAGAAGGAAAGACATCATTATCGTCCAAATTACCAACGTGAGTAAATTTAAATGAGGCATACTAAATAGATTCCTGATAAGTTGCTAAATACATATAGAGAACCAAATTAGGCAGCAAAGAGTCTAACTCAGTGAAATATCTACATATAATTTAGATACAAAATTAAGTTTATAGCTTCATAACAATATTAAACTCTCTTGTGACCATAATCTTATTAACGTGAAGGAAAATAAAAAACAATAAAAAAAGCAAACCCTTGGGCTTCCCAATTAGTGATGATTAAATCTCTTCTGATTGAAAACATTCTCTCAGATAAACTCAACATTGTAGCAAAATATGCTAAGTGATTTTCTTTCCCCTTTATTTCTCCCAATATAAAATGTAGATGCAAGAGAAAGTCTGATACTAAAGGAAGGGACTCCTAACCCACATGCTCTCGGGAGCTAGCTTTAGTGAGGTGTAATTGTTTTGCCTGCTCTTTTAACGTTGGACCCTGCTGCCCTACATCAACTGTTAACGGATTAATGACTATTGTATCTCATGGTTTTCCAGGAGGCCCTACCTTGCTGACAGGGTAAGCAGTCAGAACTGTGATGACAGAGTCAAATCCTGCCCCATTGTCCTCTCTCCTTTCCAGGTAACTCCTCATTCCCCATCTGCTTATAATAAAAGTCTATGTTCAGATTTTCAACCTTTTCTGGAAACATTGGCATCTCCCTGAGGATTTAGGGAATCATTTTAAATCTTCTTTTCCTCTTAAAAAAAAACCCTTATTCTCTAATATGAAAGTAGTCAAAAGTCATGTTTTAGATTCAAATTTAACTCATAGTGAAAAAACAATTGAGTTTCTACATTTACCATTCTACTGAAATGCACCAAAGTCACCAAGAACTTCCATGTAGCCAATTTCATTAGCAGTGTCTTTTTATCCTAGCCCCTCTTCTCTTTTCTTTGCATATATTTCTCTAAACTATTCTACCCATTCCCATCTCTTTATACACCATTCTTATGCTGATGAATCCTATATTTATAAGCCAGCACTGACTTACCCACTCAGCTCCAAACTCATATATTCAAATATTAAATTAAAGCAACTTCCTGACTGTCTTCCAGGCATTTCAAAGTTAACATATCACAAAGAGAAGATACCCTTCCACCTAAGCCTGGTTTCCCCCAAGTTTTGACCAGCTCAGTAAATGAAACTAACATCTAACCTGTGACTCAATCCAAAATTGGTAGGTCATTCATAATTCTTTTTTCTTCACTCTGCTTATCTTTTAGAAAGTCTTGCTTTACTACCTCCAAATATCTGAATTGTTCTACTTCAGCCCATTTCTACCACTTCCACACTAGAAGTACAATCATTCCTTACATCTTACTTGGACACCCCAAAAGCACCCTAGATGGAGGTTGTGGTTATGTTTATGGCATAGATTGGAGAGATAGTTTCACAGGTGTATACTGATCTCCAAACTCATCAAGTCATCAATTTTATGTTAAATATGTACAGTGTTTGCATGTCAAAAAGTACACACACAAAAATACACACACATACACACACATCCATACACACACGTCATACAAAAGAAACCTCCAAACTGTCTTTTATCATGGCCGTACCATTTTGTATTCCCACCAGCAATGACTGAGAGTTCCTGTTGCTCTAAACCCTCCCCAGAATGGGGTGTTGTCAGTGTTTTGGATATTGATCATTCTAATAAGACTATAGTGGTATCTCATTGTTTTGATTTGCATTTCCCTGATGACATAAAATGTGGAACGTCTTTTCATACGCTTATTTACCATCTGTGTATCTTCTTTGGTGAGTTTTCCGTTAATGTCTTTGGTTCATTTTTTAATCCTATTTTTTGTTTACTTATCGTTGAGTTTTAAGAGTTCTATGGATAACAGTCCTTTATCAGATATATCTTTTGTAAATATTTTCTCCCAGTCTGTGGCTTGTCTTTTCATTCTATAGTGTCTTTCACAGATCAAATTTTTAAAAAATTTTATAAAGTCTTTCCCGGCCGGGCGTAGCTCAGTGGTTGAGCGTAGACCTGGGATCCAGGCGATCGGGGTTCGATTCCCGGTCAGGGCACATGCCCGGGTTGCGGGCTGCAGCCGATCAATGACTCTCTCATCATTGATGTTTCTGTCTCTCTCTCTCCCTCTCCTTTCCTCTCTCTGAAATCAATAAAGATATATTTTAAAAAAAAATTATAAAGTCTTATTTATCAATTCTTTCTTTCATGGATTGTGCCTTTGGTGGTGTATCTAAAAAGCCATCACCAAACCCAAGGTCATCTAGATTTGCTCCTATGTTTTCTTCTAAGAGTTTTATAATTGTGCATTTTGCATTTAGGCCTGTGATCCATTTTGATCCAGACATATTTCACTGCCCATTCTCTCTCTGTTTAATTCCCTATTACCTGGCTACTTCTATTCTGTAACATGTTTTATTCTTCTATGTAACCTATACAGTCACAGTCTGCCTGTCTGTCTGTATCTATTTATCTATCTAATCTATAATCTAATTTATCACCATCTATATCTATCATCTATCTATCTATCATCTATCTCCCTCTCTATCTATCTATCTATCTATCTATCTATCTATCTATCTATCTATCTATCTATCATCTATCTATCATCTATCTATCTATCTATCATCTATCATCTATCTATCTGATCTAAATCATTATTGCATATTACCTGTCTCTCCCACAGAATAAAAACTCTACCAGGGGAAAAAATATGTGACTTATTTACTGCTATATCTTCAGTGTACAGAACTATTTCAAACATGTAGTATATACACATTAACCATGTCAGATAAATGAGTAAGTAAAGTTTGAAGTACTTAGTGGAAATAATGACTTACTTGGAGTAAGCCTCTCCAAAATCCCAAAGTGAAACATACCAGTCTCAGCAAAGTCAAACTGAAACACTTACAGTATCTTTTCAGAAAAGAGAAGTTCCAAAAGAGAGTAATTTTGAGAGTTAGTGGCCATTTGGAAAGTAGGATATAGTGTTTTCTTATTTTAGTGTGATAAAATATGGGAAATCATGAACTATGTAGTGATTTTAAGATGGTGCCTATACAGGCTGGCAGAACTTTCTGTCCCTGACCAATCATGTCCATTTTTTTAATTAGTTAATCAATTCTATTGTTATTATATAGAACTATTATAAAACTATTTTTATAAAATTAGCACTGCATTATTGTATAGAATATGAAGTTACTGAATTATTGTATAGTATTTTAATAAAACTATGATATAGTACTTTCTATTATAAATTTATTACTTCACAAATATTATTATGTATTATTATATATTTATTTTAATATTATTGCACAGAATTATGACTACTGAACACTGAGATTTCTAATCATGGAAAGAGGATTTATGTATGTTCTTTATTAAGGTGAGGAGATGAATTCTACATGTTATGTTTTGTTTTCTTTAGAAAAGTTGTGTTTTTTCAGATTTTTATAATTTGGTAACTGGTACTTTTATATTATACATGCTTTAATAGCATTTGAAAAATACAGAAACACACTAAAAAGAACCAATTTTCCCCTTTACTCCATGCCCAGTCCCATTGACAATTCATATATTTAAAAAATATAACTTTCCAATTGTTTACCAATTTATTTGATTTCTTGTCATACTGAATTGTAAAAAGTTCTTTATTGAAAAGATCATATTTGCCTTTTTTGAGGAAAGAGGGGGAAAAAGATGGCAAATTTATTCACTGACCATAAAATAAGGAGTTTTCTTTCTCTGATTTGAAATTCCATCATCTCTAGAATGTGGTATTGAACTGGATGATGTTAAATTGAAGCTGGTGGCCCTACAGAGTAAGAAGGGTAAACAGTATGAAAATGACTATTATCCTGAACTTCACAGCCTTAAGATATTCTCAAATTGTTTCCTTTTCTGACCAGAAACAATAGTTATCTTTTAACATTTGAAAGGAAATAAAGCTCACAGAGTACTACCCATAAGACTCTTAATTCTCAATTGCCATTTAACACACACAGGTAAGACCCAATTTTATTTGACAAGGTTCCTCCATCTCAAATAGTTAGCTCACCTTGTAAGTTCTATTACCTAGTTTTATAACCTTCCAATTTACAGAGTGGCATAAGTAAATTTTTAAAAAATCTGCCACTACCTAAGAGCAATTAAGGACTTTTATCACCTCCAAAATCCAAGGGAAAAAGTACAGGTGCAGTTATTTGAGTCTTTACACGTAGCTCTGATTTCTGATCTAAGGTACTCAATTCTTTTATAAGACCACTAGGCGCTCCTAAAAATGACTTTATTCATCAGTTGGGACCCTGACCTATGGAAGAGGATCTTGGCTTTTTCCCCAAAGCTCTATTTTATTAATCAAATGTGGGTTATAAGTTTTGACTTAGAAATATATGAAAATGATTAAAGAAAAGAATATGACAGTTTTTTGGTCATTAAAATAAAAAATTTATAATAAAACAATATAAAATCCTCCAATAAATAAGAATAAATTCTTTGATAAAGTATATCTAACTCTAACTTTTAGTTATTTGCTAACCTTTCTTACGCATAACAATAACCAGCAGATCTGATTGGTTGTCTAACTCTAGGTTGACTCTCTAACCTTTCTTTGCCTGGTCTCCTTAGTATCAAGGCCAAAAGGGGAAGTGAAAAGGATGGGAGATTAATTCTAAGGTAGAGATCTAGGTTCAGAACCACCTCCTATTCAACAATCTTGTTGTATGTTTCAAATCTCAGTTTAGATTTTTCATCACAAAATTTGTTTGTGGAAGATATTTTTCCAGTTTTGCTGGTTAATTTCCCATTGAGTAGAACTTTGTGCTGTAAAAATAAAATACAGATGTTAAAGAATTGCTCATTTTGTAGGCTTGTTGATCAGTGAATATATGATTAAGTTGTTGCAAAGGCTTGCTTGCGATGACGGTTAAAGATTTTCAGATGTGACTAAAATCACAGAAGAAATATCATAAAAACAAAAACAAATCTTGAATTTAGAAATGTACAGGTTCTGAAAGAAATGTGTGAGACCCCTGGATTCCTTATGTGGACACTTAAAATGGTCCTGCAGATTATTATTTAGTCATTTTGGATATTATAACATTCTATGAATACACCACAATATGACTCATCATCTGTAGAGGTATGCATATTTGCAAGGTGCTTTTTTTTTCTCTTCTGTATGTGTGTGTTAATTCCATAAACATTACCCTTTGGAAGATAACGTATTTTTAACATACTTTTCTGCTAACTGACATATAAGGAAGAGAAAAAGAGAAAAACATAGCAAGATTTTTTTTTTTTTAATCCTTACATGAGGATATTTTTTTCCATTGCTTTCTAGAGAGAGAGGAAGGGAGAGAGAGAAAAAAAGAGCCAGAAACATAGATGTGAGAGAGACGCATAGATTAGTTGCCTCCTACTCGTCAACAGGGCCAGAGAATGAGCCTGCAACTGAGGTATATGCCCTTGGACGGGATCGAACCAGGGACCCTTCAGTTCCCAGGGTCAATGCTCTAACCACTGAGCAAAACTGGCTAGGGCCATAACGAGATTTTTTAAATTTTTTTTTTAAATATATCTTTATTGATTTCAGAGAGAGGAAAAGAGAGGGAGAGAGAGAGAGAGAGACAGAAACATCAATGATGAGAGAGTCATTGATCGAGCCCACGACCTGGGCATGTGCCCTGACTAGGAATCGAACCCCGATCACCTGAATCCTAGGTCGACGCTCAAGCACTGAGCCATGCCTGTCCAGGCATAACGAGATTTTTAACAACAGATTTAACAAATCTGTATTACTGGACATGCATGAAATTACTTTCAACATTAGAGTGAATATTTTGAAGAGTACATGATTTGAATTGTTACCAGTTCACAAAATACAGTAATTTTTCTAGGGGACAAAGGTGACCATAATATTTGTATGTGTGTGTGCACAATCAAATGTCTTAATCATTTCTTCAGCATTTTATGTGAATTTTTGCCAATATCTATAAAATATTCACTCATGGCTATCCTAAGACAAGGCCCTTCATTTTTTTTAAAAAAATGTATGGTTATTAGAACATTTTGTAGATCCAATGACTGTCATTTTATATGAAACCTATATATAAAATCATTACACAGAATAATTAGTGGAATAAAATGTGCTCTGAATTCCAGAGTTGTACAGTCAATAATCTGTTTTAATTAACTTGAGATGATGATTATATTGCACAGACACTGCTATGGTAGAGAACACTTGAAAGTAGAGACAGTGTTTAGGAAGAGTAAAGTAGTAGTCAATACCCCAAGTACATCAAGTTCAGAATAGAAGCAGAAAGGAGAAATATTTTGTAAGTGTAAATTTTTCTGCCTTTAACACTGGCTATGAGCTTATCATCGGCTACAAACATGAATTTTGTCTCTTCACTGTTCTATCATTTAGAGAATGTTATATGAAAAGAAGATGCCAAACAGCAGAGAGATCACTGAGCACATGAACATGGGAAAACTGAGAGGAAAAGATTCGAAGATAAAGGAAACTCACAAAGGTCCTGCCAGAAGTACAATGGAACCTTAGCAATGAAGAATTTTCAAGGTTTTATTATTTAAAGTCCATGGGATGTACTAAGTTTCAATTTTGCTGAATTTTAATGGCAGGCTAGTATACGAGAACCTATCACGAGCTTGTATATGATTCTTGTCCCCTGGGCATTCAAATCTATCTCATCAAAACATCCTCAGTCCAGTCTTTGTGAGCTATGAGTTCCCTTGTGCAATGAATGAAATGTCTGCTAATGATCACTAGTCCAGTTTTGTTGACTTATGAACATTTTTTATTATTGGTACTACAAAACTAAATTTAAAATAGTGCACTTATTTCCATGAAAAAAATTAATAGATTTTTCATTATGATTGTAGTTAGGTTATGTAACTACTGAGAGTAGAAGGTATTCACATCATTTTCTCCAGAAGTATCTTCCTGTATATTGTAGAGAAACTAGAAATTGTAGGGCTATTAACAAGTCTAGATTGTATTACTAGATAATTGCCATAAATTATCCTTCTTTTTCTAAAAGAAAAGAAATGCCTGAATTCTCCTTTTCCACCCAAGTACTAATCAAACTTTATTTTTGCTTTTCAGTAGGACTTACATCACATAGGAAAAAAATATTTAGACTCTAATTGTTATACTATATTTTAATATTCCTATTTATATTATTATGCCACACAATATTAAATGGCCAAAAGAATATGTATAGTTCATGATAAAAAATATTTTATATACTTATTTTAAATATTGCAGTTAATGTGATTTCATTAAAAAGTTTCTATCATTATATATAAAAAAACAACACCATTTCACATTCTGAAAGTGCAATAAATGTGAAAATATAGTTGGTTGAAAAGTTCATTATTTTGCTTTGTTAATTGAATAGCAGTACAAACTTAAGAAACCTATTTTTGTATTTGTGTTCCTAATTTCATATCAGAAAGATCAATAATAATAAAATAAACTTTCCTAATAAAAACTATTATAGATATATTTAAAATATGTGTAACTACTTGATATCTACCTATTCAATCTTATTTCAATGAGGTATCAAGTACTGTTGATAAAAAAACACACAAATAGCAATCACTGAAAAGAGAGAGAAAAGTTAGAAATCATCCACTAAGTGAGAAGTCATGTACCACATTACTTTATAATCAGGAAAATATTTAAAAGCAATGGAAAATCCCAAAAATATTTCAATATTATGCATTTTAAGTCATTACTCAAATGCTTAATCTACAAAATCTTTTTAAATTTAAATAATAGCAGCAGCAAAATCCACTAATATTTACTGAGCACTAGCTATTTGCTAAACACTTTTCTTGCATTGTCACTTAACCCTCAGAACAATCCTAATATGTTATTTCTGTTTAACTGAAGCTTAGAGAGGTTAAGCAACATGAATACATTTGCACAACTAGTGGTAAAACCAGGATCTGAGTCTGAATTTGAATCTCATATGCACTAGCATTTAGATCATGACTTTGTAGCTTAATTGTTCTGGGATTTGGGGAAATTGTTCTTTAACACCCCGGGCTCCGTTTCTTCATAGCCTCATTTCTTTATCTGCAAAAATGTATAGTTATGTGAAAATTATATATGCAAGGCTCCTACTACAGAATTATTTAAGAAAGGTAACAATTGCTTGCCTCTGTAAGTCACAACAGAACCTCAGCTGCTACTGTCCCCACTGCCCATAGCCTTAGGTGTGTCTCCTCAGCAAACACTGCACTCTGCTTAGTAGTTTACATGAGTTGTATTTGCAGGAATATGCTGTAGTGAACAAAAATATGAACACTGAACATACGCAGTTGAATCCTAGCTCAATTATTTTGTAATCAGGAAGGAGGGACGCAATGAAGAATATAAAACACTGACCTCAAAGCAGAATGGGAGAGTATCACACACCCGAACAGCACTGATTCTAAAAAACAGAAGAAAAACTAAATTATGCCTGGAAAAACAGGTATAGATTCAAGCATTTATCTATCCATGATATCATTAAATGAATCAGTTCTAACAGATTTCCCATAATATCTCCTGTTTCCCCCTTATCTTTTTAAAAAATTTATCTTTATTGTTGAAAGTATTAGAGATGTCCCCTTTCCCCCCTGTGACCCCCTCTACCCTGCACCACACTCAGACTTTCACCCCCCTATTGTCTGTGCCCATAGGTTATGCATATATGCATATAAGTTCTTTGGTTAATTTCTTCCCACTCCCCCACCTTCCCTCAGGGATTCCTGTCTGTTCCATGCTTCCATGTCTCAAGATCTAGTTTGCTCATCAGTTTATTTTTGTTTCACAAAAACTTATGATACATGCTAAAACTTTTTACATTTCATGTTATTGCATACAAAAGTAAACAGCTGCTGTAGAAATTACACTTGAAATTCTTATAGTTAGCAATAATAAAAGAAAATGTTTTGCCGAGCTGGGAGTGGCTCAGCAGCTGAGCATGGACCTAGGATCCAGGAAATCAGTCTGATTCCCAGTCAGGGCATGCGCCTGGGTTGGGGGCTTGATCCCCAGTCAGGGGCATGTGGAAGGCAGCTGATCACTGACTCTCTCTCATTGTTGATGTTTCCATCTCTCTCTTCCTCTCCCTTCCTCTCTCTCTCAAACCAATAAAGATATATTTTTTTAAAAAAAGAAAGAAAAGTTTTATGGTATGTATAGAGGGTAAAGAGTAACAGAACATAGAACCTTGGGATAAAGGGAACTTGAATCAAAAACATACAGAGGCACTAGAAATACATTTTTGTAAGAGAAAAAGGTAAAGGTATGATTTTATTGATACCAAGATTAAGCATCATACAATATGCTTAAGAACCTAATAATATATAGAATCCTTGAGGCAATTTTAACATGGATCCTCTCTAAACTACTTCTCTTGAATGATCTTTGGAGTGTCTACATGAGCGTGTCAAGTGATGTGGATCACTACCTTTCAGAGTAGAGTATTTTGTCTTTGACTAGCTTTTACTTTTAGAAGATGTGCTTACATCTATCTATAAACTGTGCTTAGTAGGCATATTCTAATCTAGTTTCATTTCTTGTTTTGCCCCCTCAAATACCAGTATCTACTCGATTTCAAATATATGTAAAACCAGACAAAATGGAAAGATGGAGACTAATCTCAACAGCTAATTCCCAGGCTAAGCTTAGATTTGGAGATATAAATGAATGAATGTCAAATAAAAGTTGACAAAAATTTCAAAAGCTGGGTATAGAGTAGTCCAAGGTTGGGTGAAGGAAAGTAAAAGCCTTTGGTAACAGAAATTCACCACCATGTTCAGAGAATAGGCTATGGGACAGCTTTTCTCCATATCACGTTTTCATGGGAAGACCGTTGCCTACTGCTGCTCCTTCTGGGGAAGAAAAAAAAGATACAAACCTAGCATCACGGTGGCACTAGAGATGTGGCGTGCAGATAGAAATCAATGCAGGATAATTCTTCATTTCCTGTCCTTTAATTAGCCAAGGATTGTGGCCAACCAAGAGCACCTCCTAATGGGAGTGAGTTCCTGTATTACCCACTGGGAATGAAGCAAAAGGGGGTGATCAAGAATATGACCATGAGCCCTNTACCCACTGGGAATGAAGCAAAAGGGGGTGATCAAGAATATGACCATGAGTCCTGCCAGGCGTGGCTTAGCAGTTGAGCGTCGACCTAGGATCCAGGCGATCAGGGTTCGATTCCCGGTCAGGGCACATGCCCGGGTTGCGGACTTGATCAATGACACTCTCATCATTGCTGTTTCTATCTCTCTCTCTCTCCTTCTCCTTTCCTCTCTCTGAAATCAATAAAGACATATATCTAAAAAAAAAACAACAAAAAAAAAGAATATGACCATGAAAAGTCTCCCACCCTTCAGGGGCCGTATTTTATTTTATTTTTTAAATATATCTTTATTGATTTCAGAGAGAGGAAAGGAGAGGGAGAGAGAGAGAAACATCAATGATGAGAGAGTCATTGATCGAGCCTGCAACCCGAGCATGTGCCCTGACCGGGAATCGAACCCTGATCACCTGGATCCTATGTCGACGCTCAACCGCTGAGCCACACCTGGCCGGGCAGGGGCCGTAGTCTTAACTGCATGTGGGTGAAGTGTATTACGGGCTTTAAGTCACTGCATTTTTTTTTAGTACCAATTTTAATGGCTTCACAGTATTTCTGTGTTATGGATGTACAATTTCATAATTACTTGCCCAAAACTATTTTAATACAATAATTGTGTCTGATACACAGTTTATTTTTAAAGTGAATTTTACGTCTTCTTGTTTTCAGTTTTATGTGATAATAAACCACTGCATTTTTAATGTATGAGTTATTTTTTCTTTTTATTTATGTCATTCATGTATTCTTTAGAAAGAATTTTAATGGAAGTATATGTTTATGTGCAAGGCAGTATCCCATCACTGTTACATGTTCTGCTATTTACTACTTGGAAGGACATCATATATTAAGATTGGGGGCATTAAATTATTTTGTTAATCTCTGCCAGTTCCCTGCTAACTTCGTATTGTTACATTAGCTTTTCACTAATCATTGCTTTTAGGAAAAAAGTGACAAAAAAAGAACAATTTGTATGTCAATTGGTTCAGATGATTTAACAGAAAAATAACTTCCTTTTGGGAAGAGAAATTATACTGGAATAATGGGGCAGCTGAGCATGAAAGATGAGGCCTTGTAAGCATAGTCCAGTTAGAAGAGGTTTACATTAGGAAAAGTAAATATCACTACATAAATGATAATCAGGATTTTTTTTTTTTTCTTGGAAGGGGAGGGAGGAAAACTGGCAGTTGGCCCTGGAGAAAATTATTCTACAAAGTAAGGGTAAGATAGCAACAAAGGGCATAAGAAAGCAATTGGGAAACTCCCATTATGTATAATGGACATCTAATTTTAGGACAAGGATGTTTAGCATGTCAATTTGCATTCCACACCTCGTTATCATCTGCTACCCCAACCTGTACCAGTAGGCTTGTTTTAATGCTATTTAAGGAGAATAAATGAAGTTAATTTGGAAAATGGTAATAGTAAAAAGGACAAAAAAAAACAAAACAGTTTGAAAAGGGATTTAAGGTGGGCAGCCTTATAAAACAAGCATAAAAATAAACTATCAAAAATATATTAATACTGAATCCTCCTAAATTTAAAATATTAGAGAGTTAGAAAATCCCAAAGTTCATTTCATTATATTTAAAGTTTTCTTATTTAGACATAAAGGTCATCTATAAAATGCTAAAGCTTCGAAATCATCTGGAATACATTTATTTCATAAAGGAATCTTTAATTTTCAAATAAATTAGCATTTTTAATTGTTGCCTTTAAAAAGCATGGCCATTGATTATATTCAGTATGCTCAGCTTATCTCTCCAGAAACCTCCTTCATGGCATCTCCCCTACTTATATATATTTGAATATAGGTAAGTATATTCAAAACATATATTTTTCTAAACCTAGCATAACTGGGTATTTTAATTTTTTCTAGGTATAGTTGATGAGTCTTTCATAGAATTTATGCAGGAGGAGTATATTAGTTTTCTAGGGCTCCCATAATGCAGTACCACAGACTGAGTCATCTAAACAATGGAAATTTATTTTCTCACTGTTCTGGAAGCTAAAAGTCTGAGATCAAGGTGTCTGAGAAGTTGATTTCTTCTGAGGCATCTTCCTTCTTCTCCCTCTGTCCTGTGTGTGTGTGTCCCAATCTCCTCTTTTTATAGGAACATCAGTCATATTATATTGGGGCCTATTTTAAAGACCTCATTTAACAATAATCATCTCTTTTGTGTCCCTAACCCCAAATTATGAGATACTGGGGATCAGGATTTCAAAATACATATTTTTGGGAACACCATTCTGCCCATGAAAAGTAGTGTATAAAACTATTTTTAAGTTTTAATCACTCAGAATCCTAAAGATGGTGGGTTTGGAACTCACAGCTTCCGTAGAGGAACTTGTACTTATTTTGGTAAAAATTACTGCATCTTGAGAGAAGCTATAGCATCTGACTTGACTCTGGTCTGATTATACTCCAGGGCTACCATGAAGATGCACTGAACATGCTACCGCACTGGAGAAGCATGGTATCCCATTCAGCTGATGATCTGCCTGTCATGAAAGATGCTTGCCATCTCTAATTTTGAATAAACACCATAAACACAATGGTGAAAATATCAATTTAAAAAAAAAAATCTCTCCATGCTGCATCTATTTCCCTATGTGCTCTGACCTAACTTACAGTCACCTACACATAGTTGCCTGTGGCTCTGTTTTGTCAAAGTATTAAAATAGTCTTAGCTAAAATCATCTGTCTTTCCTACTCTTCTCTAGACTTTACCTTCAGCTCTTGCTCCTCAGGATTGTGATACAGAGGGATCCTTTAACACATAATTCCTTTGTCAGGAATTTCAGGATTTCCTCAGTTTGCAGTTAGGTGTTTGGTTTTATTTCCTAATTTCAACACTGACTTTTTCCTTTTTCTTTCATTGTTGACATTATCCCTCCCCCACCCCTCCATTCCCCCCTTTCCATCTTTTGTAATCTGGTTGGTTCGTGTATGGATGTGAAAGGCTTATTTCTATCTAGATGCTCTAAAGATCCCCAAAATACTAGTATTCAGGTATCTAGTTCCTAGTTTTCTCCACTATAACACATTTCTCTCTGACAGTTTGAAGTTTCGTGAATGAAATTTGTGAACAGGTAGTTCTTTTGAGTTAGCTCAAAATCACCATCATAGAACAATATTCTTGTTCATAAAATTAAGATCTATGTCATTCAATTAATATCAGGTCGTATCACTTCTCTTTACTGGATCACTTTTGAGTTTCAAATATTCTTTCAATTGAATGTAAAACAATGTATAATCTGGTCCAAATTTATTTTTCAGTCTCACTCCCATTATCATTACACCT